AGTTCATATCCAGGGATGTTGATGGTGGTGTCTGGGACATTGTCTGTAAGGTATGATCCCATGAGTATGACTGTGTCAGGATGTTGCTTGACTATTCTGTGAGACAGCTCTCCCAATTTTGGCACTAACCAGATGTTAGCAAGGAGGACTTTGCAGGATTGACAATGCTGTTTCTGCTGCCTAGGTGAATACCAGTGGTCCATCCAGTTTCATTTCTTTGAGGTGACTGAGTGGCTTGCTGGGCCATTTCAGAGTTGCTGTGAGTCTGGAGTCACATGTAGGGCAGAGCAGGTGAGGATGGCAGATTTCCTTCCCTGAAGGACATTAGAGAATCTGACAATTGACAATGGTTTCATGGCCATCAGTAGATGCTTAATTCCAGATTTTTAAAAATTGAATTCAAATTCAATCGTGTGGCAGGATTTGAACCCACGTCCCTGAATATTTGCTGAGTTTCCTAGATTAATAGTCTAGGGATAATACCATTAGGCCATCTCCTTCCCCTCATGTGTAGTATAGAGCAGGAGGACCCAAGAATAACTAAAATGAAAGAGGTAATTATTCATTAATGCAAATACAAAAAAACCTTTACCCAAATTGTTCATATTCCGTGGTAACTCCATTTGTCTAGGTTTTGTGACAACCGCAGAAGTGGGTTCCTTCTTTATTAAGCTTATGTCCTTATTGCATTTGTATGGCAGAGTGGGAGCTGCAAGATTGTCCTTCAATGCATTGTGCTTTACCCCTTCAATGGCTTCCTGTTTGTTCATGCAGACTGATTCTTCTTCATTTGAGTTCCCAGTGGCAGAATTGCTCTTTCTCTCCGGGTCTGGAATGTTTCCAAGAGTGGGATTGTTGTACATGGTTTGATTATCAGACTGTTGAACTGTCGCTTCACGATGTTACAGCTTTGCTTCTGAAAAAATCTGTAACAAATGGACATTCGTAATTTGTATTGTGTTTGTTTCTCTGTCAATCCGTTCATTTGTCTCCTCAGAACAAAACACTGCAGAAAGGTCAAACAGGTAAGTATTCCCTGGTGTCTGCAATTTTATTCTGAAAAGAAATGTCAGTATACGCTCAGTGTTTGTGCTAAAATTTATCATCCATGAGGAAACTGTTCTTGAATACATTTCTATATACGATCAAACCACTTTGCCAGAGGGTTACAAAACAAAATTTGATGTCAGCCATAAGAAGATATGGGAACAGGTGGCCAGAAAAGTTGATCAAGGTAGTCTTGATTGTGCCTTAAAAGAGTAAAGAGAGGTATAGGAGTTCAAGGTGACACTTCCAGAGCTTAGAGTCAAGACAACTGTTGTCACAGCCACCATTAGTAGAGCAATTCAAGTTTGGAATGCTCAAAAAGCCAGAATTGGAGAACCCTCTTGGAAGGTTGTAGTATTGAAGGAAATTACTGAGCTTCGGAAAGGCGAAGCCACAAAGGGATTTCTATATGTTCGGAGAACAACAGCACTGGTAAAAAGGTAAGCCACTTCAGTGTACTGGACTTAATATTTACACACATAACATTGCTCGTTGAACAGCATCATCAGGTTCCAAGAACACTTTTACCAGAGAGGGTACACGACAAAGGGAAGCCTTAAATAATCAGGAAAAATAACCAAGAAGAATGTAAAGAAGATAATAAATAATATGAAAACAACATCATCTCCCTTCACATAGGCACAGTGTGAATTTCCATAACAGTTCCAGTACAGTTCTTACCAAAGTAATCTCTTTACAAACGTTGACAGTAACCTAGAAGTTCTTTATGGCATTTAATTTGACGATTCCTCACCCCTAGTCTTCTGAACCTTATGCAGAAAGTCACACTGGCTACGATTTCAAATTAATTCTGTCTTATTATAAACATAAATGACATCCAAAACAAATGCAAATCATCCTCTGGCCCTAACAATTGAACTATTGTTTAGAACATTACATACAAGCCCTCAGACAGGCACAGTATATTAATAAAATACAATGTACCATAATGGTATGGAGAGTAATGGATCTTGGAGAGTGAGTTGCAGATTCGAGATTAATTACACATTCAAGAGGGGACCTCAGGAATGATTATGAGGGTTCAAATTATTAGAGTTGGAAGGTTTTTGTTAATAGTTACTTGGAATCTGGCTGTTGCCGGCGTGATCAGCATTTGTTTCGCAGTCCGAATTCCCCTTGAGCTTCTGTGCCATTTCAGAGAGCAACATGGCGTCAACCACATTTCTGTTGGTCTGGAGTTACTTGTAGGCCAGACTGGGTAAGGTTGGTAGGTATCCATCCCTTAGTAAATCAGACTTTTTATTTCATGATAATCAACAATGGTTACATGGTCTATATTAGTCTAGCTTTTTTAACCCCTTGTTTATTTAATTCAGATTTAACTGTACACCATGGTGGGATTCAAACCCATGTCTAGTACTTCGACAATACCACTACGCCACTGCCTTTCCTTAGGTCTTTATCTCCATGATCTCTGCTGTATTCGTGCACAGAAAATGGCTACATGCTTAATTTGTGATTACGGGCTGGCGTGAAACGCTTCACAAGTGCACATTTTTTCTTAGGACATGGTTTGATGCGGAATGATTGACAGAGGATGCAAGAATTTTTGGGATGAGACTAGAACTACAGGGCTAGTTTCAAAGTAAGAGAGCTTCCACTTAGGTTGGAAAAGAGTGGAATTTCCTTTCTCTCAGAGGATGGTGAGTCTTTGAAACTCTTCCTCAGAGAGCCGTGAAGGTGGGGTCATTGAAATATTTTCAAGGTAGAAGGAGCTAGATTCTTGATTAACAAGGGAGTTAAAGCCAATGGAGGTGAGCAGACTCAAGTGGAGTTGAGGCTCCAATCTTGTTAAATTTTGAGAGGCCGAATGGTCTACTCCTGCTCTGAATTTGCATGTTTGTGCATCTCTCAGTATTGTGCAGGGTGGGGCTTTTAAATAGGCAATGCAGGAATACCTCTGATTGTGGAAGCTTACGTAGATAGTCACCACATAAGTTTTTCCTTTTCTTTCTACACCATCTGGCACAAGTGAATTAAAAGAAACAGAGTATAATTTTTGTAACACTATTTCAATAAATATTTGTTCCAAAAATCTTCAATATTACATTCAACCTCCCAACAACACCATCCCATGAAGTGCTCAGTGAATATTAGTAATATATTTTGATTTGATTTGATTTTATTATTGTTGCATGTATTGAGATACAGCAAGAAGTATTGTTATACGTGCTATGCAGGCGAATCATACCATACATAAGTGCATCAGCGTAAAAGAACAGAATACAGCAAAAACAACTCCCCCACTCATTGTATCATTCAGGTGCATCCAAGTGATCCTTAAACAGTTAACAATATCCAACAAATCCATCATGACACCTTGATATTTCAGTAGCCTTGCCCAGTTTGAGTGACTGGTTACTCCATCATTTATCTATCTAAAGGTCAAAATCCACTCCAGTAAGCAAAGAAACAGATCTTGGAATTCCCACAGTGTAAAAGCAAGCCGTTCAGCTCACACTGATCTTCTGAAGAGCATCCCATCCAGACACAACCACCACCCCCCCACCTAATCCCTGTAGCCTTGCATTTCCCATGGCTAATCCACCTAGCATGCACATTTGTAGAATAGAATCCCTACAGTGTGGAAACAGGCCCTTTGGCCCAACAAGTCCACACGGACACTTAGAGCATCCCACCCAGACCCATCCCCCTTATCTACACATCCCTGGACACTATGGGCAATTTAACATGGTCAATCCACTTAATCTGCACATTTTTGGATTGTGGGAGGAAACCAGAGCACCCAGAGGAAACCCACACAGATGCAGGGAGAATGTGCAAACTCCACACAGACAGTTGCCCAAGGCTGGAATTGAACCTGGATCCCTGGTGCTGCGAGGCTGCAGTGCTAAGCACTGAGGCACTGTGCCGAACCCCATGTGAAATTTAGCATGGCCAATCCACCTACACATCTTTGGACTGTGGGAGGAAACAGGAGCACCCAGCGGGAACCCATGCAGACACAGAGAGAATGTACAAACTCCACACAGACAGTCACGTGTAGGTGGAATTGAACCTGGGTCCCTGGCACTGTGAGGCAGCTTTGCTAACCATTGAACCACCCAAGTAACAGTCAGTGAAAGAGAAACCAAAGCTTAGATGTAAATTTCCCACATCTGTGCCCTCAACATAGAGTTTTTGCCAACTTGGGACTGTGTGTGTATTGAGGAACGATTTGGACACAGCCTTCCATCCATCATGGGTACAAACATAAAAACCGAAAGAACTGCAGCCGTTGTAAATCAGAAACAGAAATTGCTGGAAAAGCTAGCAGGTCTAGCAGCGTCTGTGAAGAGAAATCAGAGTTAACGTTTTGGGTTGAGTGACCCTTCCTCAGAATTGTGGTACCAACGTGTTGACTTCCTATGTGCGATTTCCTGGTATGTGCTACTAGTGGTCTTCTGTATTGCAAAAACATATCAGCAGGAAATGCAGCCTTGGTATGGGCGACAAATTCCAATTTCTTCTATAATTCTAGTAATAAACCCATTCTCAGGAATTCCTGACTGCACGTGGTTGGTGATTTACCAGATATTTTTCAGATTAGGAGCACGAGTTAGCTCAGTCAAAACCACAGAGGACACAAAAGGCTGCTGGATCACTGAAATAAAAACACGAAGAGCTGAAGCAACTCAGCAGTCTCTGCAGAGAGAGAAATAGTTATATATGGTTTCTCCAGCACTTTCTATTTTTATGTCTGTGTAGGATTTTCCAACTGGTTTTTGGGACAGAGAATTCTGCATTTCTGTCACCGTTTGTGATGTTTAAAACAAAAGTTTCCTGATCTCGCAGTCACAGGGCTGGGTCTAATTTTAAGAACACAGTTGAGTTCTCTTGGGGTGGAAGCGGATAGGTTGAGAATGTTGGGTCACCAATCCTACGTTGTTGCACAGGCTTGTCTGTAAACTACAAATCCCAGCAAGCTGCTGCAGAAAGGGGGACGGAGGCTGGCTCTTCCTCATTGCGAAGCTGGCTTTGACCTTTCTGATGCAAGGAGTAGGTTTCCGAGAGGGCATGAGACGTCCTTGTGGACTCTGGACACATCGTGAGGGGACAAACGCAGTCCTCAAGGGAAGAAACAATATTTAAAAAAAAACAAACAGCGAGGGACTGGAGGAGGAGATATCAGAGTGCGAGAGAAAATAGCCAAGAGCATTTATATACATATATAGATAAACCTTCAGTCCTTCCGGACAAAATCTGCAAATAAAAGGCCTGAAGATTAAGCAGGTTTGTGACAATAGAAAATTGATTGCATTGTCTCCGTGTAAGGATATAATCGGGAATTAATGACCAATAAGACGGATAAAAGTTTCCTTTAAATATCTGTCGTGTTGGCTATGGCGTGTTCACTGCTGCTTATATAAAATGATGGGTACTAATTCCAGGTGCATTTAGGTCAACCCTAATATTCTGTTTTAAAGCTTTTTTAAAAAATACGTTTGTGAAGACAGGAAATCCACGGTGTTAATCTGCATATGGTTGTGAATGAAGGGAGACAGTACTGTCTATAGGTTGGACAATACATGTTTGGGATTGTGTTCTCACAGATAGTGTTTGAGCTTGTTATTAGTTTGCAATTACAACTGTTTATCTGGATAGGGAAGTCATGAGGTTAAAGCATCTGTTTTTGATTCAAAATAACCAAGTTGCATGCTGCTGGCCTTGCAGTCACCATTATTATGTTGGAAAGAGAAACTGAGGTGATAAACCTCAACCACAATATCTCACAGCCAGCACCAGAGCTACTTGTGAGTTAAGATCTGAAGGATATGGAAGCTATCCTGTTAATTTTGTTTTGTATAATTGCTCCCATCCTCCCTGCTTTTAGGAGGATATCTGTGTCCCTGCTTCTGGGCCGGAAGCTCCAGGTTCAATTTCCACCTCAAGACTTGATGGCTGTGGAAGGTTTGTTGATTTTAATGGCCAGGGTACAATCTGTAAATCCTTCTTATTTACCTGTGGTAGTCAGTAAGAGTGAGAAAGTTTCTTTGTCAGCCAGAACCCTGTGGGAGTTGCAGTGTAATGGCCTCGCCACATTAAAAGACTCCACGTGCAGGTTCTTGCAATGAAGAAGTGTCACCCTCATCCTAAGGAATTACCCAACACACAGACACCCCTAATCCTCATGCCACATAACGCTCCCCTAGCTCGAGCTACAGCTATCCGGATGGATGATGTTGCTCTCAGATATGCATGGATGAATTTTCTTCTAAGTTATATTTATAGTTGACTAACTTCCTGTTTGTGAGGGAAGCACCTGAACACTGCTTGGTGCACTGTACAATGAGATTAAGTGGCCATCAATCCTGGCACTGGAGGGAACCACACAGTAATAGGAAGATAAGAATTAGGTGCAGGAGTAGGCCATTCAGCCCCTCAAGTCTGCTTCACCAGTCAGTGTAATCGTGCCTGATCCCACGTCAACCTCATCTCCACTGTCCTGCCTGCTCTCTATAATCCTTAAACCCATTACTAATTTAAAAATCTATCTATCTCCTTTTTAAACTTTCTCAATGTCCTAGCATCCACTGCGCTGTGCGGTAGTGAATGCTACACATTCACAACCATTTGAGAGAAATAATTTCTCATTTCTGTTTTAAATCTGCTATCTTTTATCTTTAAAACTAAGAGGTCTTGCTCTAAATTGTCCCTCAAGAAGAAACATCCTCTCTACTTTGTCATCTTATATACTTCTATTTGTTCTCCTCTCATCCTCTAAACCCCAGAGAGTATAGGCCTAAACTGCCCTTGGGCTAATATGACCCATGGGTAGATTTTCATCTTCACCTGTTCAGGCCGATAATGTGAGTGCTATTCGTTTTTCCCCATGTAACATCCTCGATTGATCGAGGGTGGGTGACTGATGGCTTGATTTCATCATAGGGTAGAGCAAAGATGCAATTCTCAAGTCTACCCCAGCTGGAACAAAGATTGAACCCCTGGCTGTTGTTATTCTGAACCACGTGCTAACTGTCTACTTAACTCAGTGAACTAATGCAAAACCGCATTCCCCAGTCTCAATGCTAGGCTGTTGAATTTTCATCTATTGATGTAAAGCAGGAGTGCTGTTCTGTGACAGATTGTCACTCAGGTGGCAGGGACAGAAATCTATTCCATCAGCTTTTTAGTTCATAGCATGGTACAGTGCAGAAGAGGCCATTCAGCTCCTCATCTGCTGACTCATTGAAAGAGTTATCCCGTTGATCCCAAGATCTCTGCCCTTGCACTTATTTGCAACTGTCCATCTTCCTAAAGAAAGTTGACTGTTGAATCTGTTTTCACCGCTGCCACCCTTTCAGGCAGTGTATTCCTGATCAGAGTCAGTTGATGAGGCAGAAAAAACCCTCATCTCTCACTTGCTGCTTTTATGCCAGGATTCTGGATTCTGATTCTCGCGGAAACTGTTTCTCCCTATCTACTCTATCAAAACCTAAACTAATTGTAAACACTAAATTGTTGCACAATTTCAAACTAGAAGAGAGCAAGTTCTGAAGAAGAGTTATACTGAATTGAAACGTTAACTCTGTTTCTGTCTCCACAGATACTGCCACAACTGCTGGGTTTCTTTAGCTCATAGTGTTTGCTCTCATACAAAATAAAACACATATTTGTTCAAGAATAATCAATATCCATTTCTTTGGAGGACGTAGGAATGAGGGAAGGCTATTTAACTCCTCAGGCCATTCCACCCTTCAATGCAACTGTGGCTGACCCATAACCCAAGTCCATTTGTTACCCAGCTCTTCTCTTGGTTTTCTTCTGCACGAAGGAGTGAAGTGTTTGACGCGTGGGAGAGTGCAACAAAAATTAGAGTTTCACATTGTAGGCAAAGGTATTTGCGCACTCAGAGGAGATGTTCACTGATGCTGCTGTGTGACCCTGTTTTTGAAACCCAATTATCATCCTTGGGAGACAGAACTAACAAAGACTGAATCCAAACCACATCCGTAAAGTTTCTTTATTTGAAATAACTTTGAATTATTTAGATAAAGGAATATGATGGAAGTATAGATACAATTTTATCAAGAGGGCATGGTAATGGTTATACAAGTGGAGACGCATGTTTGGATCCTAACATGGTAGTTGTGAAAAACAAATTAAATAACAAAATCCGAATTTAAAAGTTAGTTTCAGTAATGGTGAGTATGAAACTACCGGATTCTTCTAAAACCTCCCCAAATGCTATTTTATGTTTTTAAACAATTCTTCCACAGGATGGCTAGGTTACCTTCTTGAACTGCTCCAGCCTTGGTGATGTAGGCGTACCCACAGAGCTTGGGTCTAAACTTGCAGGAAGTTTGTCTTTGTCCGTTCAGTGGCAGTGGTTGTGAGTTTAAAAGGAGCCTTTTATTCTCAGTATTAGACTGAGAACAAACTTAAAACACCTTTTCATTTCCACCCTTCTCTGTATTGGGTTATCTGATTTTAGAGTAGGGGGAAATCAAGCAAGTGTTTCTGCAAGGAATGAATGAACAAAGGGTTCCTGTTGTAGATTACTGTCAGATATTTATGGATTTGGAGTTTTCTGTCCAGGAGAATCCAGGACTTTGGCCATTCGGCCAACTGAGCTCACTGACACCTCATGCTATACTGCACAACTATACCCTATAATATTAGGACAGATTATACAATGAAATCGTTTAGCACCAGTCAAGTCAATTTCTGAAAACAACATTCAAATTAGTTCGCAGGTGTTTGAAGATCAATTTGTCGTATTGGCCAATTTAACAGCCTCACTTTTTAGTATTGTTTCTTGTGGCATTCAAAACTTATTCCTTTAACAACAATGGGTGGACGTGTCCTTTTGACTTTATAACGAAATTCTAAGCAAAATATATTTCCTTGAGGGATATTAAAGGAATGATTTAAATGCTTCACAATGCTGAAGGCTGTTGTTCCCAAATGATAAGCCTTAAATCAACAAAACTGAACCTTGATATTGTTTTATGGTGTATTAATTATCAAACCAATTTCTGACCTCTGTTTTTCTTTAGGCATTGATTCATTTGTTTAACTTCAATTAGCACATAGAACAGTACAGGCCCTTTCAGTCCACGATATTGTGCCGACCTGTTATCCTACTCTAAGATCAAACTACCCTGCATACCCTACATTTTACTATCCGCGATATGCCTATCCAAGAGTCACTTAAATGTCCCTAATGTATCTGACTCCACTACCATTTGCTGGCAGTGCATTCCGCATGCCCCCACTCTCTGTGTAAAGAACCTACATCTGACATCTCCCATGTACCTTCCTCCAGTCACCTTAAAATTATGCCCCTTTGTAATAGTCATTTCGGCCCTGGGAAAAAGTCTCTGGCTATCCACTCTATCTATGCCTCTCATCGTCTTGTACACCTCTGTCAAGTCACCTCTCATCCTTCTTCGTTCCAATGAGAAAAGCCCTAGCTCCCTCAAATCTTCCTCGTAAGACCTGCCCTCCAGTCCAGGCAGCATCCTGGTAAATATCCTCTACACCCTCTCTAAAGCTTCCACATCCTTCCTATAATGTGGCGACCAAAAGTGAACACAATATTCCAAGTGTGGTCTAATCAGTGTTTTATAGAGCTGCAGTGTAACATCGCAGCTCTTAAACTCAATCCCCTGCCAATGAAAGCCAACACGCCATACACCTTCTTTGCAACCCTATCAACTTGGGTAGCAATGTTGATGGATCTATGGACGTAGACCCCAAGATCCCTCTGTTCCTCCACACTGCCAAGTATCCTGTCATTAACCCTGTATTCTGTATTCAAATTCGACCTTCCAAAATGAATCACTTCACACTTTTCTGGGTTGAATTCCATCTGCCACTTCTTTGCCCAGCTCTGCATCCTGTCAATGTCCCGTTGCAACCTACAACAGCCCTCCACACTATCCACAACTTCACCAACCTTTGTGTCATCGGCAAACTTACTAACCCACCCTTCCACTTCCTCATCCAAGTCATTTATAAAGATCACAAAGAGCAGAGATCCCAGAACAGATCCCTGCGGAACACCACTGGTCATCGAGCTCCAGGCTGAATATGTTCCATCTACTACCACCCTCTCTCTTCTGTTGGACAGCCAATTCTGTATCCAGACAGCCAAGTTTCCCTGGATCCCATGCCTCCTTACTTTCTGAATGAGCCTACCATGGGGAACCTTATCAAATGCCTTGCTAAAATCCATATACACCACATTCACTGCTCCAATTTCATCAATGTGTTTTGTCACATCCTCA